CGCGCACGCAGTTTCCAATGCTACCATCTTTTTTTTTGGGGGTAGAAGGTTCCGTGGAAAAGGTGGCTGAATTCCACGATATTTACTGAACTGAATGGCTATTCATCACGGGCAATATGTCAATGATCTTACAAGTAACAAAAGAGGCAAGGAGCACTGTACAAGGTGTGGCCTAGGGCAGAAAGGAGCCCAATGTGTCATTTAGGCATGAACTCCGGTAAAATAATAGACACACACACAACCCAAATTTCCCCGGGCCTAAATGTCTCGAGAACTTTACAAAATTTGCGCAGGAAACCGGCTGCTTCGGGGGCCCACCTGCGACTCCGTCTCCAGCTCTCAGCGGAGACGGTGGTAATTAATCATAGCACGATGTATGGCAGGTAGGAAAATGAGACCAGAAGTGTCATTTTCCAACCACAAACAGGAGTATGGGATTTGGAATTTTGGTTATGGGAGTCTGTGTGGGCATTTATTGTCTTTATTATAACTAGCTACTTGTTGTGTAGTGAGTCACGCGGTGAGACCGAGTCGGGTATGTGGGAAGCATGATCTCGGCCGTGTACACCGGTCTTTGAGTCCTAGGAGATATAGAGCTTAGCTTAGGACCTAAATATAAAATCAATCAATCAATCAATCAATCAACCCAAATTTCCAGCCTGAACAAATCTAAGCCCCGCCGGCAAAGACGAATTCTCCACCTTCCAGTGGTGCCGGTGTAATCGCTCAGTATGCTCTGCATATCTGGGATAGCCAAGAAGAATCGCATCTGAATCGAAGTCGAAAGCAAACACATGCATATCTCCATTTGACGACTTCTCAACCATGCAGCACTCATCATTATCTTCTGAGTCCTCAACCCCGATCTAACCACATATCAACTCGCCTCGCCGACCGATAAAGGCGTCACCCCAATTGCAAACAGGAGCTTGCCTCATTCATTACCGGCCATCACTCTCTACATATTTACGACGCTATTTATACCCGCAAGGAGGAAATCAAGTCGACAAATACAAAGCCCGGGTCTTGGCTCATGGGGGGCTGTTGCTCCAATGGGACAAACAACTTGAGGAAGAACAGGCGCCTGAGATATGGAGCGAGGGGGGGAATAGGTCTCTGAGGAGCATGCTGAGACCGATATTTTCGAGGAGTTTTCAACTTTGGATTTTTTGTGGGCACCAAGACCAAGATTTCGGCTAACTAGCCAGGAGGGCTTCTATTGTCGATGAGTCAACGGCACTCCCCAGCGCCCTGGACGGCACAAAAGAAGCTAGGATAAGCTACTATACAGCAATCACGCTCTGTCAAAACTTTTCTGACATTTCAGCACGACCTTCGGGAAGGAGTTGGAAGGAGGCTAGAAAGGCAGAGGGTGAATTCTCCGAGGTACCCACAAGTCTGCAGCGCCCAGCTGGCCGGCCTCTTCGAACGCTTCAGAAGGGTCACTATGTCTTCGGATTTAGTCCTAATGTCGGTAATAGGAGAGCTCCGCACCCAGTAGTTTTTGCGATTATTCCCGGCTGCCATACACCCGCAAATGGCCATTGTTTCGTTGGCTGGAGAGGGGAGATAATGAAGGGCAAGGGGCTCCTCTTAGTGTATGATCGAATGAGGACTTGTGAGGGGTGGTACTGTTTGAGGGGAGCTGTGTTGGAGGCATAGGAAGGGATATACTACTGGTATAGTTATCCTTGGCCTGTAGGCAGAGAGGACCTGCATGTCCTACATAGTCATAGACTCAGATAGGACAATAAAATGAATTAATAAAAAAAATCTAAGTCCCGTTGCCTCATACCTAACCGAATTAAGAAGATAACCCCTGCATCCCCACATTCAGATTAAATCTAACAAATTTAAAAAACACTCCTTCTCCTAAGATAAATAGGAGCCTCTTTCCGCGCCTGAGAAGTGTTGGAAAATATACTCTGTACGATATTATATGGATAAATATGATGAAGTAAAGAAGACTTGATATTTTACAACTATGTGAACATTGGACTTATATATACATCTTGGGGGAGGAATTCCCACTAGTCTCATGTGCCTATCAAACCTAGTGATGACCAGGCAAGATACACTGTAGTACGTAAATATCCAAACGTATATGCAACAGTAGGCGCGATTAGCGCACTCGTGACATGTGTAGAGAGAGTCGATCTTGTCGGGAACCTGAGACAAAACAGCTAGTGGTCGAGTCCTAAATTCGAGAGTTAGAATTTCCAATAAGAAGCATCCCAAGAATATCCAGTCAGCCCTGTTCTTTGTTTTTTCTAACATGATCAGCAATTTATTCTTGGAAAGTCTAGCTCACAATGTTAGAGCATCAAATTACTACATTCTTAAAGAGGAATAAGCGAACACTTCTTGTTACCCATTCTCTAGAGTTTCTTCTATTAGCAGTCCTTCGTAGTTATAGACTCCGAAGAGACTCAAATTGAATTCTATTCTATTATAGAGTTTCTTCCGTCCTTTAACTGAATTTCGTCTGTCCATAAAATTGATGTCCAATCTTCAAATGTCCAATTGAGATGAGCTTCGGCCCATTCTCTGCGTGTCGTCTAAATGGTTTTTTGAGATGCTGGAGACTTGAGTTGAGCTATATGTCATGATAACCTCTTTCACTAGGTTCTTTTTGTATAACCAGATCGCTGAGACCAAGGTATCTAAAGGAGCCGAAGGCGAGTTGTTAGAAATGGAGACACGGAGTGTTGTGGACGTACGGGCCCTCCATTTCGTCTAGGTTCCCGACAAGGTCTCATGTGTATTTAAGAGGTTGGAATGGATAGTATGGTAGCGCTTCAGGCTACCTATTGGAGATATGAGCGCCTGTATGGCGTGGGCACAAGGAGGTTATTGGGGGTTTTCTATGCCTAGATGGCGCCACACTCGTTTATGCTGTGGCTTAGGCTACGTGTCGCTTACACTTGTACTTGTAGCGCACATTTCCCACATTTCCCACATTTCCCACAGTTTTAGCAGTAATCCGAACATGACACTCTTTCAGTCAACTTCTACTTTCGGTCCTTGAATACTGCGCCCATTTCATTGCGCGATATTTCCAACACGAGTGTTGGCACAGGCTGAATCTGCTAGCAAATAGATAGTGGTTGGTCACTTTGTTCTTGATTCTCTATCTAAGCTATCCACAGAGAGTTATCCTATGTAGGTGCCAAGGCCCTAGTGCGATCAATACCCGTGCGTGAAGGCCTGCACTTCGGACCAATCAGAGTAATCCATAGAACGAGTGCTATCAAAATTTGGCGGCAGTTTTCAGGTGAAGACTAAACATAAGATAGAATCTGACTAAAATCATCTGCTTTTAGGGTCGGGGATGGTCTTTTGCTCTTTTTGACTGAGGAAATTCCGCGGCCCAGTGAATAACTGACTTGTCCCCGAGAAGTGCCAAATTGCGCGGAAATTTGAGTCTGACTTTTGCTATTTTCACGGAGGCCATATGTCTGAAGATTTTCTTTAATTTCCATTTGTTTATTATTTGTCTTTTGACCTACGAGAATATTTTCATCTCTGGATAATTGTTTGAACTGATATGTTGAAAGTGGGGTTTGAGGTGGATTAATCTGTAAAATAAGGTTAATAACGTATAAAGCCATGTGTCTGCTTTATTGACATCATTGATGTCATCGAAATCTAAATCTTATCACCAGTCAAGCACAAGAGAAGAAGAGCTGTATAATGTTTTAGCTGTCGGCGGATAGGGAGGAGTGGCAAAGATTACATTAGAGAGTGGAGCAGATTTGCATAACACTGGCGGTGACGATAACAAGTTGTGCCCATGGCCTAAGCCTTGAAATCCGGGACGGGAATTATGTCCCCTGGAGCGAATATGCGCCCCATTTAACCCCACTACAAACTACCCACCGTAACCACAAGGTATATTCACAGACATGCTCGGACTCGAAGCTAGGCACACCCGAGCAGGGGTTCCAAATTAACATGTACCCATTGATGCCGTCTTCCAACGCTCCACATCTGTTCAGCTGAACCAGTTTCTCCCGTGAGGATAGCTCCACTGTCAAGATCCCCACTCAAACTGCCCATGTATAATGGGCGGTCGTTCGGGAGCTGAGCCACAATTTCCGCCCGGAACTGTCGCCCAGAATCAAGGACTGGATGATACCTCTGCCTCAGAAACTGCGAATCCTTTTAGGTAAGATGTTCCTTGCTCCAGCATCATTCCTTGGTTCGGATCATCTGATCAAAGTAATATTCATCTGTTCGTGTGATCACTCAGCCAAGATACCTGGGATCAAAGGCGGGGAAAAGTTGTTGGGTCTTAACCCAAGGAAACATATGGAAAGTCAGTGAAAGGCTCTTGCACAGATTCGAACAACTGTTGGGCTTTCTGCTTGCACCCCTACCTCCCACGAACCACCATCTCCTAGAGAATAGAAGAACAAAATGTTACTCTCAACCCATTGCCCGTGTTACAACGCGGGCCGTTGCGAGAGCCTATCATGGTAGTGATCGTCAGCTTAGCTATCAGATTACAGTTTCTTGTCTCAATGGTTGGCGTATGATGGGATGAGAGAGAATTGATATTTTCATACTAGTGAGCTGTCGGCTACATATAAATTCTATTGAATCGGGATCGTCTAGTCGGTTCAAAGTCCTTTGAGAGCATCCCAGAATCGGAAAGATTGTGGTAGGCTGCCCATTTCGATGTGGGCGCACGGCAGTGAGTAAGGGTAGTAAGGAGACTGACGGCCCGGAGAATCCTGGCAAAGCTTGGACATGGTAACTAGGCTTTGCTAGCCCTAGCCTCAACATAATGACATCAGTCGTTCTAAGTCAACAGCAATAGCTACAACAGCTCCAACGTTCCCGCATCTAAAAGAGTATTCATGTACACCAGTTAGCACTGAAATCTCACGTCTGTAATCATTTGCATCCACATTTATCGGTATTCTGAAGTCGAAACTCCTGTACCTTCGTTATTCTAATCTAGCACCACTCAGATCAAGATAAGATTTACTCCGACAATGGCTTTACCCTATAGACAAAATTTCCGAAAGCCTTCCAGGCAGGCGTCTATGGAGTTAGTTGAGCAGCCGTCTTTGCGAATCGAGGGCAAAACTTATGCTGACCACGAATAGCCCTCATAACGACCTCAATCCACATGTAGATCACTACATTGGAATTGATGTTGGAACTGGCAGTGCACGAGCTTGCATCATCGACGCTTCCGGTGATATAAAAGCATGTAAACTATAACTCTCCAACTCAATTTTTAAATGCTCACCGAAGCAGTAACTACAGAAAATATCGGCTTGTGGACACCCGAAACTGGTTACTATGAGCAATCCACAACTGATATCTGGAGATGCATCTGTGTTTGCGTTCAACGAGCTCTATCCCAGCACAACATTGACCCTGGAACCATCCGGGGCATTGGTTTCGATGCTACATGCTCTCTTGCCGTATTTGCTCACGATACTGACGAGCCTGTATGTGTAACGGGTCCAAATTTTGTCAACGACGGAAACGATCGCAACGTTATCCTTTGGCTTGATCACAGACCGGTGGAAGAAACTGCCACAATTAACAGCACGGAACACAACCTGCTTCGATATGTCGGTGGAAAAATGAGTATTGAAATGGAAATTCCAAAAGTGTTGTGGTTAAAAAACCATATGCCTGCAGAACTCTTCGACAGGTGCAAATTCTACGATTTAGCCGACGCGCTCACTCATATAGCCACCGGTAATGAAAGTAGGAGTTATTGTTCCACCGTCTGCAAACAGGGCTTCGTTCCCGTCGGCGTGGATGGTAGTGTGAAGGGCTGGCAAGAAGACTTCTACGAGAAGATTGGGTTAGGAGATCTTACCAAAGATAACTTTAAACGCATGGGGGGCGTTGATGGGGTGGTGAGCCGTTTCATCCTGGAATAATATTTTCCTTCCGATAAAAGCTAACAACTAATAGAACGGAAAATATCTCTCAGCTGGCGAGCTAGTAGGTACTCTATGCGAGAAGGCTGCACATCAACTTGGCCTGCCGGCAGGTCTCGCAGTTGGGAGTGGCGTTATTGACGCTTATGCCGGCTGGGTAGGCACAGTTGGTGCTAAGGTTAACTTAGGACAAGATCAACTAAACTCAAAAATGCCCAAGAATGATATCTCACAGGCTTTTGGAAGACTAGCTGCAGTTGCAGGAACATCAACTTGCCACTTGGCAATGTCAAAAGATCCTATCTTTGTTAACGGTGTTTGGGGCCCTTATCGGGACGTACTTCTTCCTGGGATGTGGATGGCTGAGGGTGGACAATCTGCTACAGGAGAGCTTTTAAAGCATGTTCTCGAGACTCATCCTGCATATAACGAGACGATGTCACTGGCAGATTCATTTAATACCTCAATATACGACTACCTCAACTCCCATCTTGAAGAGTTGCGGGGCAAAGTTAAGGCCCCAACTATATCCTACCTTGGTCGGCATTTTTTCTTCTATGGAGATCTCTGGGGAAATCGTTCTCCGATTGCCGACTCAACAATGACTGGATCAATCATCGGTCTTTCCTCCGATAAATCTATGGACGGACTTGCTCTATATTATTATGCAACTATGGAGTTCATTGCTATGCAAACTCGTCATATCATTGAAACAATGAATAAATCTGGACATGATATTACATCTATATTTATGTCTGGATCTCAATGCCAGAATAAGATTTTAATGGAATTAATAGCCACCACATGTGAGGTTCCAGTTCTGATTCCTCGGTACGTTCACGCAGCTGTTGTACACGGCGCAGCAATGCTCGGTGCGAAAGCTGCTAGCGCAGACAAAACAGGGAAAACAGAACCTCTTTGGAATATTATGGATAGAATGAGCAAGCCTGGGAGAGTAACTTCGCCTGGTAAAGATAAGAATGAAAAAAAGTTACTGGATGCAAAGTACGAAGTATTTCTAGAGCAATGTCGTACTCAACAAGTATATAGGAAAAATATCGACGATGCACTGGGTGGTTGGGGTGCAGAAGTGAGTTCTTAAAAGAGAAACCGAATAGATATTAAAAGTTAATGATGGAGTTTTTAACCTGAACAAGGTAAATCGTTTTTCGCTGGCACTAAATGTAGGACATTGAGTCAAGATTTATCTTTTTATGATATATGCATGTGACACTCTGGTCTAAGCGTCAATTAATTCCACCTTTTTCTGTCCAGTAGTTATGAAATTAGGTCATACAGGTTTAAAAAAGATTTTTTCAGGCTTCTAGGCCCCTAGCCTCGACATAGGTCGCGGCCAGAAGACTCATGCGTCACTTTTTATTCGAGCTCAAGCACCGAGGAAAACGAGCTACAAAAGATGTGATGTGTTGTTTTTATTATAATACTTGAACCAAAGACTATCTATCACGTTGGGCTCCTCTCTAACACAAGCTATACCTTGTACAGTGCTGCTTGCCTCTTATGTTACTTGAAAGATCATTGATAAATTGCCCCTGACGAATAGCCATTCAGCTTAGTGTTGACCCGTGGAATTCGGCCATCTTTTCCACGGAATCTTCTACCCAAAAAGAAAACAAAAAGGTAGCAATAGAAACTGCGTGCGCGGGAAAAAGTCTCAAAAAACCTGCAGCCACAGCCAGGCTGTGACGGAAACCGAGTTGGTGATGAATAAATTGATTTATTAAACTATATGAAGAGAAAAGAAATCTCTAGCTACTACTAACAGGTACTTATAACGTTTGATCCGCTTCGTGAATCTGCTGACTGATAAATTTCCCCTAGGCTTAATACTTGCTACCGAGCCAAGTATTATCAGGAGCCATTACGCTATGAAGTTGCTTCGATCTCCTGGCTAGTAGTGCCATTTCATCTCTGTTTGCCCATCCTTCCTCTTTCAGTCTTATCGTAAATATTCCTAATTAAACGCTTAGGTTTCCTCCTAACCTAAAACAACGGTCAAACCGTAACACAGGCGAGGCATAGACACCGAGACCACATGAGGAGCGCATATTCATCTGCATCTCCATTTCTTGTAACAGTCAAGGCCGACTCGATCCAATCCAAATCTCCGTATCGGGTGCTGGGTAGGCTCCGGAAACTTATCAGATGGCTTCTCCTCCATGATCAAGAGTGGGTGATGTGTAAAGCTTCGACCTCACAATATGATCTGATCTTGGTTAGCTTCATGACAGTAGTACTAGGGGGATGTGCTGAGAGATAAAGACGATACAGACCGCGTAAGCAATTGGGGATCCTCGTGGAAGTGAGGACTTTGTTACTCAATCTCAGTTCTGCAGACTCTACAGTGAGAACTGGAGGTTCGTAGGGTACACCACTGACAGGTGTTGAGAATAGTCCTCCAACACTTTTTGGATGTTAGGTAAGCCTAATTTACAGTGATCCTTCTTGACTGTAATCTTTCTAACGTATTGTAATAGCCTTCTGGCTCACCAAATCGCATCCTGGGCTCGAAAAGCATTTGCCTCACCGTGTTGCTGCCAACTCCACAAGGCCACGCTCCCTCATCTATACGCGAAAAGGGACCGAGTGCCAACAACAAGTAATTTGCGAAGCGTCACAAGATCTCACCGCAGTAAAAGTAGGAGACACATTTGTATCCGTATATCGCGTTCCTGGAGCAGATCTTTTGCCGCTGCTATCATGGGCTCCATCTAGGCCTACAGTAATTGGCGGAGATTTCATTGCTGTTCACCCCGACTGGCAGCCAATTACTACTTGGATACACGGTGACGACTAGGTACTCATCGAATGGATGTTCGAGCATGGAATGGACCTATCTTCCACACCGGGCGTCCAGAACCACGATCTTGGAAACAGACTCGACCTAGTTTGGTCTAACGCTAGTGCCCTTGCAGATATCTCGATAGAGCTTGACTCGACTTCGGACTACAGAACTCTTGCAGGACACTTCCCTCACCCGAACTCAAAAGCTAGCGCTGTTATAAAACCTGGCCAATCGTCACGAGTGACAGACGACGCCCTCGAAGACCTTGCCAAGATGCCAGGTAGCTGGGCTCATGGAATAGGGCTACAGCCAATGGTCTCAATAAGCGCGGTAGACAACCTTACTGATGAGCTGGTTCAAACTATTAGCGATGCAATCAGGACTGCCGGAGGACCCGGAAGTGCGAAGAAGGGTAGGACGGCACCTTGGTGGACGTTGGAGTGCTTACAGTCCAAATGCTAATACAGTGTTACGGTTTCTTTTCCTACATGTTTCTTTAAGCTGTTGATGGTACTGCAGGGGCTAGACTTAGAAGGTGCGGCGTTAGTGTCATGGCATGTAGATATTCTAGCATGGAGGAAAAACGTAGGGGAGAGAAGACAAAGATTTCAATCAGACGATTTTTACCGCTACCCATTTAATGCTTTTAAATACATCACAATCAACTTAATGAACAGGATATTCAGAGACGAAGAGAGTAGGAAGGATTTCCGTCACATAGTCATAAGTGCGAATCGCCAACACTGGCAGCGAAAGTCCTCCGAAGCCACAACCGACGTCAACATGTATCGGATGGCACGCTAGGCAAAGCCGCAACCTACATCTGCTGCTCCACTACTCTAAACTCCGCATGGTTTTTTCTCGGATCCAGGAAAGCGTGCACTTCTGTTGCGCGACCTCCTTCTTGGCCTGTTCGTCAGCCGAAACGACGTCGACACCGAGTACTTCAAGCCAGGACGCCGAAACCTTCCATGGGTCTCAAGCATTATAGACGAAGAAGCCAAATGGGTCACAACGGTCTGCCAAAATAAAGTGCCTGGAGCAGACGCAATTTATTCAACTTTAGTTATCTAAATATTCAGACATATAATGAATATGGTCTGTTTGTCGATTATGATGTGGCTGCGATTGCAGTTGGATGTAAATAATGTAAAGGTCTTTATCAAGTATCTTTAATATATATATTTATTATGGAAATACCCTCCCGTGAAGTCTACACTAGTATGTACATGTAAATGCCTTCTTTTATAGATATTCCCAAAGTCAAATATAGAGCACCTATATCCCCTGAGATATATGTTCGATACAGAGTTGTGACCTGCCTCCCGTATTATGCGCAAGTCCAAAACTACGTTCTACCATGTCCGTCAGTTCTGTATTAAGTTTTCCAGCCTTCATTTCCGTGCACATATCCTAAAGTGTAATTTGCCCGTAGATGTATGATCAGTGGCGGAAACCTGCAGTCTGATAAACACAGTTTAGACACCATGGGACTAGAGTCTAACTCTAACACAATTTCTGTTCTTCTTAGGAAAGTCTGGCCGTCAATTGGTCACGCAATAAGAGTACTCTTTGAGGGCTCACTTCGACTGAACCACTTCCCAAGGGCATTCAAGCTTGCCGAAGTAATTTTTCTTCTTAAACCTGGCCTTAATCTCAGTACAGCTAAAGGATTGAGGCCTATAGTATTACTCTCCTCCCTCGGCAAAAGTCTTTAGAGACTTGACGCAAAGCGAATGACATACACTGTGACGATTTGTAACGATGCTAATGATGATGGTGGCCTGAGGCATAAAGGCAATATTCCCCGCAAATTCAATCATATTACCCACATTCTTTGTATGAAGTTTGGGGCAGGTCCCCCGCCTTTCACAGTCTTTTCTTCTATCTTTAGCTTAATATTCTAAGGATTAATTGAAGTACTTTCACACATCGATCTTGTCACATACACCGCCATTTCGTACCAGGCTGTGCCGCAGTGGCTCTTCGGATCACTTTCCGGCAGATCCGCTAACGACCTCGTCTCATGCGTTAAACACAATGTGGATCATGCTATGTGTCCAGGTCACGGGACAAAGAGGTGATAATATTAGTGTGATACATATTATGTAATCATAGGTTATCGTGTTTGTAGTCTTGGGAGTTTCTGGTTCGCATTGAATGAACAAAGAACTTACACTAGACTTAACGAACTCCACAAGCATTCTACAATTCAAGACTACATGCGTGCTTTGAGTTCAGAGTCAAAAGTAAGACATTCGTAACCCATGTACATGAACGCACAATGCAACGAAAAGGCAGAATAAAGCAGCCCTTGTCACTTTGCACGTACAGGGGGCATTCGACGCTGTACTCCACGGAAGAATGCTGTAAATAATGAACAAAATTGGGTGTCCAAAACCAGCAATCACTTGGATAAAGTCTTTCCTGAAAGAACGATCGGCCCGCGTCAGACACAAGAACGGAGTAACAGACCCAATTCACCTAGAATGCCGGCTGCCAAAAGGATCGCCTTTATCCCCAATTCTCTTCCTCCTCTACATGGCCGAAGTCGTAGGGGGCAGTAGCTGGAGATTTGGCTATGCAGATGATGTTGCTATCCTCAGCATAGGTTCGACGCTGACCGAAGCCGCACTAGCTGTCCAGCGAGAAGTAGATGCAGTCCTAGGGTGGGCTGCTGAAAATGCCGTCTCCTTCGAACCAGATAAGGCCGAAGTAGTCTACTTCATCGGCCCCAGATCCAGGGGACACGATCTTCCGGCTATAAGGGTAGGCACTCGCGATGTACAAGCATCCGATGATATCAGATGGCTCGGAGTACACCTTTATCGCGGTCTGACCTTCGAAAGCCACGTCGCAAAGTGGACCAGTAAAGCAATGCGGCTAGTGCAACACTTCCGGCGACTCACTAAGTGTACTGAGGGACCAAGACCCGAATTACTAACCACAGTCATCCGCACGGTAGTCCTGCCAATCGCGATACACGCAGCGGAATCCTGGTACCCGGGGCCAACCAGGGAAACCTATCGGGGTGTCGCGCGAAATTCATGTAAGAGACAGTGCAAAGTTATTGACCAAACTTTTGCCTTAGGAATTCGCGTGGCTCTACTAACCTGGCGCACCATGCCCATTTTAGCCCTGAGAAGAGAGACTGGCATCCCACCAGCATACATTCTACTCGAGAAACGCAGGCTCAAGATTGCCGCGAGAATCCGAAGACTGGATGATTACCATCCGCTTCTTCTTTGAGACACGAAAAGCACCGATAGCGCTTGCCACTATCTCGGATTAAATAT